AACGAAGAATACACGGCGTCTAAACCCAGAAGACGACTTTCTTAATGCTAATATTGTTTACACAGGCATTTACCTTAAAAAACTATCCCTATAACAGTCCGTGAAGGCTCATAGGATTGTGAGACGTCGAGGCACCCACACTTTATAGACATTCGGCCCACAGATGGCGGTGAGGTTGTCAGCCTTACGCGTCGTGAGCACCTTTACCCTCCAGGAATTTCCTGGTGGTCATTTCTGTTAGAGGCTGAGTCGTTCCTAGGGCCATAGTGCGGCTGTAGAGATTAGATAAATTGAAAAATCTAATGGTCTTATCGGGATTCTAACCCACGACCTTCCGGCTTGTAGCATAGTGTCACAACCAACTACGGTATAGCGGGCTTTTATCTTATATATTTGTGTAATATATGTTGAAGTTGTAGGTGAACCAAATGATAATAATAATAATAATATATTTTTCTCACGCATTCCCCGAGAGATGTTAGTGCATACATTACATAATCCCATTGGTGTACTGGGTTTAACAAAGTTCTGTAGGTACTGGACAGACTGAAGTCCGATATATCGTATTAAGTTCGGAGCAGTGTTGCCACAACCTCCTATCGGTCACTCATATCAGTTTCTAATATTTTAAAGCTTACATTCTGCCTTCAAAATCCGCGGGATTTCTCTTCTTGGTCTTCAGCGAGCCTAAAACAAAATACATGACTCAAATCCAAGGGGGTGAAAAGCTAATCCCCTTATTTCCCTCCCTCTAGATCCACATGTAACGGGGCGCCACCATATCCTTTCAGTCCCAAAACCCACATACAACCGTGTAACTTCCCCCTAGAAACCCTCCCAGCCTCATAGCTTCACTCTTCCCACGTAATGCCATATTCATGTACAAGTACAGTCAGTTTTGATCAGAACTTTTCAGTATATAATAAATTCCTTAACCATTTATTTCAGATGTAAGACGTTAGGTAATCACTAAAGTTGCATTTCTGTCAGAGGCTGAGTGGACCCTAGTGACATAGTGTGGCTGAAAGGATAAGGTCAACTGAAAAATCCAGTGATCTCATCGGGAATCGAACCAAGATCTCTCAGTCGTCTGAAGGGATGTGGAATGGGCTACAGGGTTTAAATTCTTCTTACCTTGTGTTCACAAACTGTAGGAATATTTATGTACGATTCTAAGAATAAACAGTCGTGACATCTCTAAACAGAATTAACGAATTCGTGTTTCTATTGGAGATGCACTCCTTTTTCACTTTGGAACTGAATTTTTCAGTGGTATTCGACCTTTTTTTGTTCGTGGATTTTTTTTTTCAGTTGACCTAATCCTTCCGGCTGAAGTTTACTCAGCCTCTAACAGAAATGAGCACCAGGAATTAATTAAATAATTTTCCTGGGGAGTAAAGCGCGGCCGGCGCGAAAGGCTGACAACCTTACCGCCATCTCTGAGCCGATTGTCTAGATACTGTGGGACCCTCAACGTTTCACAACCCTATGGGCCTTCAGGGCCTGTTACAGGGATAGCTTTACTTTTTTTTTTTTTACCACCAGATGTAATTTCTCTTCAACTTTGTACCCTCCAAAGGTTTTGGTGTATATTTCAAGTTATACAAAGTCTATAGTCTACATCTAAAATAAATTAAATAAATTACATATGAAATAATGTATTAAATAATAAGTTTCAGAAGAGAAAAAGGAGAATCAAGCTATTAAATAACAAAAATATATTATTGCCTATCATAAAAGAACAAACTCTGTGTCCTGTAGTCCGCAAGCGAACTATACCCACCGAGCGACCGCCGCTTGTCGGCGAAGTTACTGCCAACTTTTGCGGATAGAAGGTGTCACGTGGTCAGCGCAACGGATCCTCGCGGCCTTTAATCTCGGGTTTCTAGACGGGAGCCGTATAGTATAAAATTAATGAAGGAGCAAAGGTATTTTAGCAAAACAAAATTATATGAGCAAATATTTTATCAATTATTAATTTGGTTATGATCTTTAATGAGATGATTTGGCTTGTTTCTGGCAAGCCAGCACATCAATTCGGGGACGAATTTTAATTTTATATACCCTGTAATATGTCTTTGCATACTCCTGCGGATACGCGTACCCCAGGCTGAAGACCATTGGTTTAGATGATCTTCATGCTTCTAGGAGTTAATAGAGGCTTTTGGAGGTCGAGATTTATTACAAGAACTTTCGATATTTGCATAAGAGTAAAGGAAAATTTGTCTCTCTTCTTAATTACCTCACCATGAAGATGCATGATAGAATGGAGGTAGAGCTCCAGGTATGCGTAACTTCGCCACTAAGAGGTGAGTGATTAGCTTCACCCTACAGCAGCTTTATCTTCGGAGAAAAATCCTCTGTTATCCCTTAGAGAGGACGGAACTGGTTCGGAATCTATATCACTCACGGAAATGAGCCCTTCTTGAGAAGCTGCCAATTGTGCAGCTACTCAAGAATTTCCCAGAATTTTATGGAACGCGAAGGGTCATTACCGTGTTCACAAGACCCCTCCACCGGTCCCTATCCTGAGCCAGATCAATCCAATCAATACCATCTAAGATCCATTTTAATATTGTCCACCCACCTACGTCATGGTCTTCCCAGTGGTCTCAGTCCTTCAGGCCTTCCACCAATATCCTATATGCATTCCTCCTCTCCTTCATTCGTGCTACATGCTCTGCCCATCTCACCCTCCGTGACTTGATCATTCTAATTATACCTGGAGAAGAGTACAAGTTATTAAGATCCTCATTATGCAGTTTTCTCCAACTTCCTATCACTTCATCAAAGCTCGAACCTCTTAATCTGTATAGAAGATAGAAAACATCTTGCCTTTGTACGGAGTCGAAGCTGTAGTCCTTGATTTTCGAGCCCTTAGGCAGTTGCTATGCCACTCAAGATCGTTTGTTTGGTAATGAGTTAATTAGTAAGTAAGTGGGTAAGATTTTTAATATTTCAAATTTGTTTTGGAGTCTGAAATCGGTGGCGATAAACATGAATCTTCTTACAATTTATTTAAATTTAAATTTGTTTGGGCCTTCTTTGCGCATGTCATGCCATAGCAGGTTTCTGGGAAACGTCTGCTATCTCGCACTGCGTACGCTAGAGAATACGGCGGAAAATGACGCGGTTTACTGTTGGATGGCTTGCAGGCTACCTCTTGATAATTAAGCATTTTAATGAGATGTTTTATAACGAAAACAACTGAAACATACCTGTAGACAGACAGTCTCTAAGCTATGAGTACAAAATAAACATCTATGTTTATTCTATGAAAGAAAATAAATTCGGGAAAACTTTGCCGCCACTCAGAATTGATCTTCTTCTTTTCTCGTATCTAAGAACTTACAGATTTAAGTGCACAGGAATTGTAGTGTTTCTTATATAGAGAATAATTTGATTACACCGTCCAGTGTGACTCAAATGTACACGTATATTTATATGATGCCTTTCCATGTTTCGGTCAGTTATGACCATCTTCAGGAGGCATAACAACATGTTGAGAAAATTACTCTTACATTGATCATAGTAATCAAATAGGATACATTTTTATTTAATTAAGATAAAATGTGGCTGAGTTAAAAATCATTAAAATTCTTAATATTTAAATCTTAAGCCGCTAAGATTGTCTTCGTGACTCTTCTGTCAACGGGAGATAGGGAGAGGTATTTCCGTCCTTAAAGGTCCGGGCCGTGGTTTCCCCTCTTTTGATTATAGTTGGTTGAGCTGTTTCTCCTTTTGTTGTGTGTTGAGGCATTAGTGTGCCGGACTAGTGTGCCGGACCAGAATGAATAAAGCTAAAAATAATCTTGTTATTTTGTATAGTTCTAAAACTTAAATTGTTGCATTAAGATAAGAACATGCAGGTTTTCATTGAGCGTACCTTGTTGTGTTTATTATAAAAATATGTTTATTAGAATCCCTCGCTAAACAACAACCTTGACCATCTCCTTGTTGTGTTGCGACGGATTCTAATAAAGGTATTTGAACATGCAGGTTGTTGAGGCTGTCTGAGAATGTTGTAGCATATAGATCTGTTGCTAGGCAGCGACAGCGAAACAAACGATTAGAAAAAATCTGTTACTACGCAACGGTCTGTAAACAGCAACAGAGGAATGATGTTTTGTGCGCGGTCCGCGCCGATGGCTGCGCAAGTAACAGTGGTTACAGCAACAGAGGAACGGTGTTTTCTGTGTAATTCGTGCCTCTATGTTATAAGCAGGACAACTAGTGAGAATTAGTATAATGCGGGAAAGTGAAGGGTTGGTTGGTGAGTTAGAGAACTGCAGTTCAGTCGTAAGCTGTTTCTGTTAGAAGCTGGTAGCAGAGGCAAAGGGATAGTTCAGGAACCCAGAGTAAAAGGAACATCCACCGTTTGAAGCCGCTACCAGGCAACGACCGTTGAAGACACAGCAAGCTGAAAAGACTTGCGTGCCTGCTATAGTGAATTGTAGAATGTGTGTGTTAATGATAGCCCTGTTCTTGCGTCTAGTTGCAAATTTTAAGTTGTCAAGAAATCCAATTACCAATTCAATTCCCGTCCGCACTCACTCAAAATCGTGACACTATTACACTAATGAGAATATCTGTAACTGCAATGGAAGAAATAACAGAGAAATTGGGAGAATTACATAATTATAACGTTTATTATTTTTATTCTTCAGCAAATATCGTTAGAATTACTGGGGTTTTGGACTTTTTCAATTATCCGGAATTCTAGGTAATGTAAGACACGACGTTTCGGAAACTGGATCTGTTTCCGTCTTCAGGTGAGGAAATATCGTTAGGATGATAAAAAATGGGATGGGTGTGGCATATAGCACGCATTTAAAGGCTGAAAAGTGTAAACAGAATTTTAGTTGTAAAATAATTAGAGAAGAGATCTGTTGAAAAATCTAGGAAGAGATGGAAGGGGAAAAAAGGGTCCTAAAGAAATAGTGTCTGGATCTCTGGCGACCTCTTGTCGACCTGCTAACAAATCCTTGGTTTTCTTACAGGCGAGCAGTACTTCTGATCAGCTGCGCGGCCGTCAGTTTCTCGAGAGGGACTGTACTTCACTGGGTCATTTAATGTAAGTAAAAAGAAACTAAAGCTATCCCTGCAACAGGCCATGCAGGCCCATAGGGTTGTGAGATGTTCAGGGTCCCACATTATCTAGACAGTCGGCTCATATATGTAGGCAAGTTTGTCAGCCCTACGCACCGGCCGCCCTTTACCCCCAAGAATATTCCTGGTACTCATTTGTGTTAGAGGCTGAGTCGGCCCCAGGGCCATAGTGCGGCTGGAAGGATTAGCTCAATTGAAAAAATTCATTGACCTCATTGGGACTTGATCCTGTGACCTTCATGCTTGTAGCATAGTGCCTCAACCAACTACACTACCGCATGGTTACTTAATGTAAGATATAAATGTCAAAGTTCCTTATGTAATATCCTATCTTCACTATTTCATTTTTCTGGATCGAGACACGTTCATGACAAAGTTAATGGTAAATATTTACCTGTGCTTAATTGAACACCGAGGAGTATGAAGTCACGGATGTGAGGGTGACATTTTAGCTTTATGCTCTCTTGACCTTCACAAGGGAAGGAAATGAGTTGTCAGCTACCGCCCTGTCTAAGGGAAAGGATCTGTGTTATTCATTAGGTTAGAGGCTGGGTGGGTCCCAGAATTTATTTCTCCTGCAGCTGGTGAACTACAATGTCACACTGTACGGATTCATACAAAACTTCGAGGTACATGATATTCCGAGCTGAAGTCACAGGATATATAACACGTTCACACTTCGTGTTTACACTCTGAACGCCTGATCATGAACACAGCACACTGTGTTTGAGTTTAAAATCATTATACAGGATGTTCACAAAAATATTGACGATTTAAAAGTGTGTGAGCAACTTTGCAGGAGCTTGAATCTCTTCCGTGAGGAATCGAAACTTCAAATTTTATTATTTTGCTAATACTTTTTTTCCTCGTTTTTAGAATATGAAAGTTGTTTAATGTTATAAAGCTCCCCCTTACAAAGCACTGCATTTAACACTATAACAGTTATGATAAAACAAAGCAGGTTAACGTCTGATTAATGTTCAGGAAATTCCCGGTTGCAATTCCGGCTACAGATCAGGCTTTCCTAACTTAAGGATTTTGGTTTGTGGCATATTTTACGTCGTATTATCTCATCTTAATCCTACACACAGTCGGTATGATCAGCCCGTCGCAAGGCTGAACAAACACAGAATATGCGCACACAGATATCCATACCTTGAGTTGGATTTGAACCTACGATCCCAGCGTTCGAGCGAGCGAAGACAATTCATGCCTTATACACCGCGGCCACCGTAATCGGCTGTATTAGCTCATAGCATGGCCTTTACCAGCAGAAGTCAAGACAAAACCATAAACATTCATACCCTAAACGGGTTTTGAACCCAGTGTGATGGGCGACGGTTAATCTAACGTACATATCGGTGAAGGTATTATTAGGTAGTCTATACTCTGAAGACGTGGAAGGAATAAGACGGAAAAGCGTATGGCAAACGGAATATTGCTTGCATTTCATTGTAGGTGTCAGATATGTGGATTTCTTAAGGCAAGAAGTGATGTGCTGATGAAATAAAAATTCACACGATGTAAACAGTTAATTGAAGTGGTTCGAAATCTCGAGTAGTATGAAGAAGTGAATGTAAGTTCTGGGTAGGTGAATACGGGAACCGAAGCCAGTTCCTTGGGGCCGCGCCATAGCTCAAGCGGTTAGTCGCTGGCTTCCCACCGCGTCTGCCCGGGTTCGATCCCGGGTCTGGTCAAGTGGGATTTGTGATGGACAAAGTGGCACTGGGGCAGGTTTTCTCCGAGTACTTCGGTTTCTCCTGCCAATCTTCATTCCATCAATTGCTCCACAATCATCCTCACCTATCATCTGGGGCTGGTACAGTAGGCCAGAAATAGCTCCTCAGTTATCGACACGAGGCTGAGTGGACCCCGTTCCAGATCCACTACTTCTCAGGAAATCTGGTAGCACCGGGAATCGTACCCGAGACCTCTGGATCCATAGCCAGGAACTCTGACCACTAGACCACATAATCTGTATTCCCAGTAAATTACAAAATTCTAAATTAAATTCTAAAACTAAAATTCTATATTATAAATCGATATTCTGTAAAATAAGTTGTTAGTTTTCTAGTAATACAGCGTTTGGTTTTGCCGAATGCAAGGCAGGAAGTTCTTGTCTGCCATCGATCCTTCGGATAACTATCTTCGTTTTTTTTCTAAGGCAGAGAAATTAGAATCCTTCGAGTTTTAAATTCCACGTGTTCTGGGCCGTATAAGTCGACCGAAAGGAAGTAAGTGGCGGGGTGGGGGGGGGAGGATTGAGAAACGCCCTGAGCCATGCAAATTATAGTCTGACGAACTTGATGTTACAGAGCGAATTCTTGATGACGCGACCACTGTGTATTCCAACCCACTTTGGCAGAAGAGAAGTACGTGAAACAATATTGCAGGTATCAGTGGCGAATTTTGCTGCTTTGGTTGGTTAAAAGCCGTTAAAGCGCAGTGGTTAGTATATATACCACGTCTTATATATATATATATATTTTATTGCTAGTGGGGTGGGACTAAGTCCCTTGTACTGCGGCCACTTCTGGCCTATTGTACCAGCCCCAGATTATAGGTGAGGGTGATTGTGGAGCAATTGGTAGAATGAAGATTGGCAGGGGAAACCGAAGTACTCGGAGAAAACCTGCCCGAGCACCACTTTGTCCACCACAAATCCAACTTTACCATACCCGGGATTGAACCCGGGCCTCCGCGGTTGGAAGCCAGCGACTAACCGCTTGAGCTATGGCGCGGCCTCATGTCTTTTATATTAGAAATATCTTTATTTTGCTCACAGACTGTTTTTATATGTTTCATATGATACTCAGAACAAACACAGAGGGTCTCCCTAAAGAATATTATGCAATTCATGTGTACAGTGAAGACATGATATGTTGCCTGTGCGACAGGAACTGAATTTTAAACAGTAAACGGCAAAAAAAGTAAAGTTGTCCACGTAGAAGGTGAACAGGTGAAGTTTTCCCTATAACAGGCCGTGAAAGACCATATTGTTGTGAGACGTCGAAACACAGCGGAAGAAGGAACATAATTCAACGTTTCAGATTAAATTGGAAGCACGGAAATCGTTTACAATGAATTTATTTACAGAAGAGTACTGCGTCGTATCGAATATTCAGCATTCAGCACTGAATGGTCCATCATTTGGTTAAACTCATTATTATTTGGCTTTGAATTGTTGGTACAATTTTGTTTGATTTGGGTTTTGGCTGAAGTGGTTTGCTTTCTGTTTGCTGGCCATGGTGAACTTGTTTACCGTGACCTCGATAGCGGCGTTGTAAAAGTACACTTTGTGGAGGGTCGAAGCAGTGTTTCGATGAATATTTTATGACATTAAATTTAATTTTGTTTGCTTCTCTTTATAACATACTAAGAGCACAGTACAGTGGTTAGTATTTTTTTTAGGAAATTCTCTGAAATTGATATAAATATGCTGTTAACAGAGTCAGCAATACAGTCATTATGACCATATATTTTCACACAGTCAATATCACATATAGGTCATAATTAGATCCATGACTTATGCCATACACAAGCTTCTCGTGAGATACAATTGTTTTCATAAATTTCGTTATTTTAATTGGATGCTCCTGCGTGGTTTTTCCTATTGACACATGCCGAATAATTACTTTGCCAAACTATTTTATAAATGTTTCCTTATTGTTTAACTCTGTGCCTCATAATTTTGAAGATAATTTTTTTGTGAAGTGGTTTGAGACGCCGTGTAACAAATGCTAAAAATATAATAGTGTCTTTGTATTTTTTAGAAGATCATATAAGAAAAAAATAATTCTGTAATATTTGATGTGTTCACGGCGGTGACTATGAAGAATGGCGGCTTCTGGGATATGACGCTATGTAGGTCTTGTATAAACAAATTTTCGGAAGAACATATCGCCTCCAACTTATACCCTGAAGATGGACACGATACGTTCCTCCGAAACGTAAGTTCACACAAGACCTACATAGCGTCATATCCCAGAAGACAGCATTCTTCAACAATACTTCTTCTTCCATTTTTCTGCGACTTACGAACTGGAAAGTAAAAGGAAAGCTCTCAAGCTTATTGTAACACCCTGTCGATAAAACATAAATGAGAAAATTTGTTTACTTTTCTTGAACAAAATGAAGAAAATAGACATTTCTGTAGCACTTAATTTTTCTGCTGTAAATATCGCTTAGAAAATATGAAATATAGGACAGTGTGGAAGGAATCTCATCGAGGACCCGAAACCATGCGACTGTTTTGGAAATTTGGGTATTGTGGTCATTAGCTAATGCGTTTTTAGTCTTACATGTTGTGAGTTCTGAGTTCTAGGTCAACTTGAACTGAGTTAATATGTGGTGGGGGGAAGGATTAGTGTAGTAGTTATTAATCTACTTTAAAGTTAAAGTATTACAGCTCTGGTTTTACTGTAGACAAGAACTTGAATCGTATTGATACCCAAAGAATAAATTAGATCCCCAAGGCTTTATATTATAAATTATCCGTCTTTGCTCCTCTCATAAAACGCCTGATGTCACGAAACGTAGCAATAGTTAAGTCAGGTGACTTTGGTGGCCATAGATTGGGAGCGCCAAGATCACTTCATTTCCAAAAATAATGATCATTAAGGAATTTAAATACGAGGATACACAATTTGACACGTTACCATACGGATTTTATTCGTAAATTTAATAATATGTAAGCATATTATTTTTGAAATTAATAAATGCTTTGTATATTATCATAGACAGGTTCTTTGAAATTTAGTCATTCTAAGTCATTCTAATATATTTCATAGATTGGCAGGGCATGTAGCACGAATGGGGGAGACGAGGAATGTGTATAGGATATTGGTGGGAAAGCCAGAACGAAAGACACCACTGGGAAGACCAAGGCATAGGTGGGTGGACAATATTAAAATTGATCTTAGAGAGATAGGATGGGATGATATGGATTGGATTGATCTGGCTCGG